AATCGGCTAGAGGGTCAGCTGGTGCTATGGCATCGGAAGGCGGGTTAGTTGGCCACTTGGGAGATGTTATCAAGATGGCTGGTGATCAGGAGAGCTGCTTATTTTCATAATGACCTTCAGGAATTAAATAAAAATACAATGAGTGCCATAGATTAGGAAGAACAAGCCAATTAAAAACACAACACGCCGTAGGGATTATTTTTATTTCTTTTCCAGGAGGCTGAAAGGCATGCGTGGCTGCTGAGACAGGATGGCGGTCTACCCAGAATCACTGATGAGGGCTGATCCTCTAGCTTGGCTTTAGCGAGGTGGTTAAGGGGATTTGAGCCTATTGAATATTTCACGGGTTGAGGCCCAGGGAGGGAGAACAGTGAAAGGTGAAAAGACAATCTCTGTTTCTTTATGATTCCAATAAAAAATCAAGCTCTTCGTGGTGAGAGGGAAGCAGACACTGCAGTCAGCCCACAGCCTGAAGGCACGGTGCACCAATTCTCCCACTTTAATATCTGCTGTTTCATTTTATATTCATCATGTCAGCATAATCTGCCTTTATGGGAATCGTCTTGGTTCCCGACCAAATGCGTTTAGTCCCCCTTTTGCTTTAAGTTTGATTGTAATGTGACTTGAAGAATTCAATGAAATGTTTATATGGAAGGACTAGGGGAAGAGGAAAGGGAAAATGCAATTGGAAAATCAATCAGCAGGGACTTTCAGGAGCTGGCTTTGGTTGTGCTACTATTTCCTTGACCTGTTTGTAATGGACACAGGACTGGCTCTCTGATCAAGTGGACTCTCACGACTCCCTCCTGCATTCGGAACTAAACATACTCTATTACCAAGCGTGCTCTTCCAACTCCCTCCTGCATACGGAATCAGCCATACTCTATAACCAAGCATTCTAAGCCCTAAAGCTGCATCTGAACTGCATTTTCAGCCTGACATTTTGCCACACTCCTTCTTAACCATGTGCCTTCACTGTCCTGAGATACCCAGCCACTCAGCCCACGCCTATGCCTCCTTCTCTTCACTGAGGGCCAAGAAGATGCCCCGCCTATGCAATGCTCGCTCATATCACCATGTTTGTGGAGTAGTTCTTGTTGTCCAAGCCAGGAGAGTCCTCTCTCACCTTTGAGTTCCCAATGGATCTTTACTTACTCTTACTTTAATTCTCTAATGAGGCTTAATATTACCTCCTTCACCTTACCATGGACATGTTTAAGTACGTGTGTATATTCATCAGCAGTTCAGTAATTGTTTACAGAGCACTGATATGAGTCAAGCACTATTGAAAGTACTTGATGTGGAAATCAGACATGCAAGGTTCCTGGAGAGACAGGCATTAAATACATATTCAAGAAAATATATGAGGTAAAGTTCTTGTCATGGTGACAAGATCTGTGGGAAGTTTTTGTAAAAGGGATAGAATGGGGAGTGGATGTGCGTGGAGTACTTTAGCTAAGAGCGGCATGGCCTCTTGGAGCAGGTCTCCTTTGGTCTGAGAGATGAATGCTGAGATGAATGCTTAGAATGCTGAGATGAATGCTTACAAGCTCTGGATGGAAACTTCCAGATAGACCAGGCAAAAGTGCAATTGCCCTGAGGCGGGAGCCAGCCAGACCTGTTTGAGGGACAGGTGTAAGTCCTGAAGGGCTGGAGCACGTGACAAAGGGACAATGATAGGAGGTGCATCAGACTAATTCAGTGTCCTGGGCCACTGGAGAGTGTGCACATGTGCGGACAGTGACATGGGGAAGAGGGTGTGGGTATATTTTATTCTACTAAAGGACTCTAAGCTTCCTGAACTCAAGGCTGTGTCTCATTTCACTTCATGTTCTGAGTTACTAAGCTGACAGCAGTTGAGAAGATCCTTAACACTCCGGTGTGGGGTGAATTTCCCACCAAAATATAAGATGGCTCTGTCTTTTGGTTTTGTTCCATCCACCAAAAGGGTGGATTACAAACAAATATTTGGTAATACGCAGTTACAATCGGCCCGAGTTTACACGTTTCCCGCACTCCACCGCAAATCTATATGAACCGAGTTAAAGACGGCTCCCGCGGAGTATGCGCAATTCACGCGAGCCGACTTAACTCGTTTCCCCCACTCCAAGTGTTAATAAAGTGTGTTGAATGATTAAAGAAACAAACATGAATGAGTGAATTAATGGATGGATGAATGAGTGAATGAATGAACAAGGCCTTCTGTTTCCGCCAAGGCACTTTTGTCTTTGAGGTCTCACACCCCTCCTCCCCACTCCAACAACAGTTTCTTTCCTTTTAATAGAGTAAGTCCAGAGCTGTTTTCTGTGATTCAATATTTACTGTGTTTCACACACTGTTATTATCATTTAACTTTTACTGTCTGCTGACTGTGCACTCATCACCGTAGCAGACAAAGAGTGCAATCTAGTTTTGGTTCATGGGCTAATTTAGTCATAGAAGAGGAGAACGTGGTAAGAGCAACTGGTATCAAAGAAATTGCACAGACTAGAAACCCAGCTGGGTACAATTCACCAGTGACCTTAAGCAAGTCATTACCCTCTGTGACCCTCTGTTTTCTCAACTGAACTTCGGGAGGCCAAGCTTCTTTAATGGTGGGATTGCAGGCACAGGCTGGGGAGAACTCTAGAAGTAAGGAGCACAGATTTCAGCAGGCATTTCTTCACTTCCTATACCTCCATCTATACTAGGCTGTGTCAACCAGATGTGGCCTGCCCTGGGCGTTCTGCTGGTGCCATTCCAGGGACTCTTAGCACAGTAAGTGCCTAAGTGCCTACCCACCTAGTGGCACCTGGACCCTCCTTCTTGAGCTGCTGAAAGAGAGAACTATTTCCAGAGGCAACTGGGTTCCCTTGGGCCTCTGATTCTGGACTTTTATGCACTGAAAGAAAAATGAGTGAGGTGCTAAGCCTGGCCATTTACCATGATGTCTTCACCTTGCCTTGGCCCAGCTGGCTGGCTGCCAGAGAAGCCACTGCCAAGGCCTCAGGTGCTGAGGCTAGGAGGTGGGTGGTGGGAGGACAGAAGGGTCTAGGGAGAGACCTTCACAGATGGCACACCCAGCCCATCTCCTATCCTGAGGCTGTACAGTGAGCTCTCCTGGTCCTTCAGGTCCCATGCTCTAGGAGCCAATGAACTCTTGTAATGATCTCCGCCCTGCTCAACTCTTGGTACAGCAAGGGAAACCCAAGGAAATTTGCACTTGGAGTAACTTACTATGTTCAGTCACTTTTTGTTTTACTTAGAATGAGGTGGGAGTCCATGGAAGGTTTGGAGCAGAGGAGTGGCATGAGCTGATTTATGCTGTGGCAGGACTCCTCTGGCTTCTGGTTGAGAATCGACAGGAGAGGCAAAGGTGGAAGGAGAGAGTCCAGTTAAGAAGCCCTCGCAGCAAGCCAGGCGGTTGCAGTAGCGGAGCTGAGAGGGGGTGGATTCGGGATGCTTTGAAGGTTTCCTGATGGACTGCGTGAGGAGTAGGAGAGAAAGCAAGCAGTCAAGGATGTCTCAAGATTTATTTCAGAGAAGTTGAAGAGTAAATAGATCCTATTCCTGTGAATAATAATGATAATACATATTAATAGCTAACTTTTTTTATAGCACTTAAGTGCCAGGTGCTCTTCCTCTAAGGAGTTTTATTTGTGAACCTCAGGAGTTAGAGTTTGTTGGGAAAGGATGATATAAGATTAACATAGTAGAATTTGGTGGACAAGCATCAGCTCATGTCTTCAAGGCAACTCTTTTGCATTCAGTGTCACCGGATATAATAGGGGCTGCAGTGGGGCATGGGCAGAGCTGATTGGATACAAAGTTCTAGCTCAGCCGCCCCATCAGTTCTCCTGAAGGGTGTGTGTGTGTGTGTGTGTGTGTGTGTGTGTGTGTGTGTGTGTGTATGCAAGAGCTCATGGCTGTGGGCATGTAAAGTCGGCAGAGACTAAGACTATTGCCCCTAGATCAGATTGGTGTTTTGGGAAGAAGGTTCAAAGGTCCAAGGCTCAAGCACAATTGAGGCTACTTGTCTACTGGTGGGTGGCCTCTGTCTCCTATAGTACTCTCACTTGAATAAATACCTGATGATCCTCCAAGAATACCACCACCCTTCCCTTTTTTTCATAAGACACACCAATAGGCCTTGTCCTTCTAGGACATTTCCGGGAACACATCCCTTTAATAGACAGAACTATGAAAAAGTTGTATGATCCCAGTGCAAGGACATTTTTGGTACTTGATGCCATCACCCTTCTACTTCACAAGAGAGTATGTAGGTATGATTACCTTGAATGGAAGTACTATTAAAATTATAAAGTATGTACAGAGGGAAAAACAGCAAAGAGGTAAGAATTAGGAACTTCAAGTCAGGTGACTTTTCAATTTACCAGATTTTCCTAACCTTCTATTGGTTATACATGAGAAAATGGGTGGGGCAGTGGTTTCTCAAGGATTTTTAAGCAAAGTGGAGATGCTCTGCTTGAAGCAGTAGAAACAGGCGCAGAACAACCCACTTGCCAAGCTCCTTTCACATGGAGCATGACGCTGGGCTCCTTGGCTGGCAGATTCTAGGGCCTTTCTGGCTCTGAGGTTCTGCTGTTCTGCCACGAGTGCCTCCAGCTCAGCTACTGAGGAAGGCACACTCTCAGCCATGTCCTCCCATCTTGCTCTATGGCCTCAGAACAATGTCAGCACGTTGACCCTCTTACTTAGTTTGATTTCATACTTGGCATAGAAGCAATTACCTTACCATGCATGGTGCTATGGAAAAGGGCACCAGGCAGACCCGAGTTTAAATCCTGCCCCTGTCACACTGTTGCTTGGGGTGAATCCTGGCCAAGGTTGACCCATAAATGGAAGTGATGACCTCTGGCTCATAGATTTGATGTGAGGACAGGGATCCTGGTACAAAGGAGGTACCTTCTGAGCTCCTGAGTAGGTGTGGCTTCTTCCCTCCCTGAAACATGAGGCCAGGCATGCAGCTCACCTAGAACCTTGGGTCTTGTCTTGCAGAGATGTCGGGCACAGCAGCAGACATCTCCCTGGTGCACTGGAGGCAGCAGTGGTTGGAGAACGGCACCCTCTATTTCCACGTCTCCATGAGCAGCTCCGGGCAGCTGGCCCGGGCCACCGCCCCCACACTCCAGGAGCCCTCAGAGATTGTAGAGGAGCAGATGCACATTCTCCACATTTCCGTGATGGTGAGTGAGTGGGAACGAGGTGGGGGCCTGGGAGATGGGGGAGGACAACAAGGTGGAGAGAGGATGAATCGAGAGGCAGGGGATGGGCAGCAAACAGCAGGAAAGAGCTGGCCGAGTGCGAGAGGTGAGAATGATAAAGGGAAGGTCAGATGGATCCCGTGGTGTCACTTGGACTGATGCATACCCATCCATCATCTGTCAGCTGTGACAAGCTAATTGTGCTTCAGAGAAGAAAATATAGGGTCTCCAAATTCCTTGGCCTTTTGGCTGACATCTCTGGGAATAGCTGTTTAACATCTGTCATGTGCTTGGCCTGCTTTGCTGAGGGCTGAGGTTCAGTGCTCCAAAATACAACTGGCCTTTCCAAGAATGGCTGAACCAACAAAACCGGAGCGGGGCTGCTCTTTCCCAAGCGCCCTTGATGTGCCAGGTGCTTCAACCCTCACAACAGCCCTGCAGTGTACATACCACATGGTGGCCCTGGAGCGGGGCTGGGCAGAGCTGGTGCAGTGGCACACAGAGCCTCTCACTGCTCTTGCTTTATAGTTGTGAATACTATAAAGTGGGCGGAGGAACTTCTCAAGGTCACACAGCTCGTTAGAGAGAGACCTGCTCTTCAGACCCAAGCATGCCTGGCTACAAAGCCTGAATGATGTCCTCTATACTCTCTTCAGTGTGAGAATAATGCCTGTCTGCCACCTGTCAGGACTGTGCTGGGCACACCTGTGGACATTATCTCATTCTGTTGTCACATGCATTCAGGGGTGTGGCCTCCATACTAGAGATGAAGTTATGGCCACAGAGAGGTGACCTTCCACCTCCGTTGGTTCCATAATCTTGAACACTCTGAATCTACTGCCTTCTCCATGGGCAAAGTCACGTGACTGATCATCTAAAATATAAGTGGGCTGCTATGAATGGTTTCTTTAAAAAGCTATAATTAATGACTTTGCAAGGTCAATGGGAAAAGACAAATTCGGTGTGCAGGGTCTGGTTGGCTGGAGAAGAGGTCAGATAATAGCTGTAGATGACACCGCTGTAGTGTTTTGCAGGCCTCGAGCCTCTTTTATATTGTTTTCTCCTTTAGCACAGCTCTGCCAGGTGTGTGAGGATAGAAAGTAGGACTCCCAACCTATGTGTGAGGAAGGCATGGCTCAGGGAGGTGACATGATTGGCAGAAGGCCACCCAACCAAGTAAGGCTACTACCCACCTCTTCATGTCCTCCTCCTCATCAACAGTCAACAGGTGTTTTGGAGAGCAGATCTTTGCTTTGGGTCTTTGTTCTCCTGGCTCCTCTTCAACTAACACCGTGCAGCAGACGCTCTGATTAAGGCTGAGCAAGAGCTCGGAAGTTTTCTGTTTTTGGAAAAACACACACAAACCCCAGCTAGAGAGCAATGTTAATTTTGGACCTAACGCGTGCTCATCACTTGGAGGAACAAATCAAGGCCTTTGTGTTATTCATGGAACGAGTGTGATAGACTTTTCCTAAATATATATTTAGCAAATGATGCAGCCACATGTCAAGCCAAGGGGGTGTGTGCATGCTAACTTTGGGTTGCAAGTTTGTAAGTACCATCTCAGGGGACTTGCTGAGCTCCTCACGGAGCATGGGCACCCTCTAATGTTAAGAAGGACTGAGGGGATGTGATTGTTCCTGTAACATTTGAGAGAAAAACTCAGTTTGGACTAATATCTATTAAGCATTTGTGTGTTCCAGCACAGCATTTACTTACATACATTCTTGCCATAACCCAGTAACCTAGATAGCGCTAACTCAATTACTAGTATAAATGATCTTGAATGGGCCATCTCTTTCTCTAGGCCCAGTGGTAGTTCCACTAAGTCACACTGTATCAGCAAGGACTGTAGGTGTGCCTTCCCTCTGCCTTCTGCTCAGTGAGATCAGCTTGGAGAGAAGAACTCACAGGGACCCAGATGTCTCTGAAGTTCTCTATTATGTAGGGCAGGGGTCCTCAAACTACGGCCCGTGGGCCACATGCAAATACAAATATTGTATTTGTTCCCGTTTTGTTTTTTTACTTCAAAATAAGATATGTGCAGTGTGCATAGGAATTTGTTCATAGTTTTTTTTTAAACTATAGTCCGGCCCTCCAACGGTCTGAGGGACAGTGAACTGGCCCCCTGTTTAAAAAGTTTGAGGACCCCTGATGTAGGGTGTGGCTATTGAGTAGGTTGGCACACTCCAGACCCTCCCTGTCCATGAACTAAAGTGGCCCCCACCTGGTGATTCCACCAGTTCTTTCCCTCCTGCAGGGCTCCAAAAATCTGTATCTTTCCTGCCCTTATCTTCCCCCCAGGAGACAGAGTCATGCCCAGGAAACGTTGAACTCCCAGGTGTCCATGCTGGCAGCCCAGCCTCTCCATGTGGGACACACCTCATACACTGCCCCCGACCTAGAGTTAGGGTGACACAGAGGTTATAAGCACAGGTTCCAGAGCCCACATGCTTCGATGTGAAGTCTGCCACTTAACACTTTAAGTCATCTGGGCAAAGCATTTAACCCCACTGTGCCTTGTTTTTTCATCTGTAAATGAGGGTTATGCTAACAACTACTGTGTAGGTACACCAAGTACTTTGATCAGAGGAGTTTGGCACATAAGTGCATTAGGATTTATTATTAGGGGCTCTTTCATTATTGAGACATGTTGATGTATTCTATCCTTTCATTTCACGGATGGATAAACCGAGGTTCAAACATAGGTTAGGACATGTCCAGGATCTCCTAGCCAGTCCCCGGGGCTTGGCCTGGAGAATAGGCCTCTCTCTGTGGCTCAGACTCTGTCCTTGCTATTCTGGCCATAGACAGTTCAGCAAGAATAAGAAGTGTGTTTGCTCCTCCCATCATCCCCTCCCTCTAAGCAGCTACTAGTATACAGAATGGCCTTGGCTTGGATATATCTCCCCATTTCACAGGTGAGAACTCTGAGACTGAGTGAGTTTAACTGGCTTGATTAAGGCTACGTGACTAACAAGAGGGCAGCTCCAGGAGGAGGCTTTTCCCAAGATTCCAAACTCATGTCACATGGCTCCTCATGCATGACGCTGTCACATTGTGCGTTTTTTTCATCTGTGGTGAAGATCTGGGATTGTTTGTGGGGAGACCCAAATAAATCAGTCCAGTCTCAGAAATCTGTAGGCCAGGGTCAATGTTCTCCATCCCCTTTTCTTAGCACAAACATCCTGCCCGTCCATGCGGGGCACTCAGCTCCGGCTCAGTCACTGGAACCTGCCACAGCCCATACCTGTGGAACCAGCTTGCTCTTTTGGGCTTGTTAAGACCTCAAGTGAGCTTCTACTCTGTCCCAGAAGGTGTGCCTTGTGACTATTAATATCCCAAGGGTGATGCAATGAGGACGTACTAGCAATGGGCCCTGGGGGGGGGCGGGAGATGTCATCTCAGCTAGTTCACTCTGAGCAGCCCAATGCCCACCTCCATTATGCAGGAAGCATGATGCAGGGAAGAGAGCAGAGGTTTTGAATTTACAGTCTCTCTGACTTCCTGTCTTCTGATGTTTTGACCCTGAGGGAGTCCCCGTGTGTCTTTGAGTCTCAGTTTCCTTACCTATGCAACAAAACAGGTCCTACCAATCTCACAGGGTTATAGAGAAGAGTGGAAGAAATAGGTGTATAGTCCCTAATCTCCAGCCTGGTACAGCATGGTCACCATTATCATTGCAGCCCATGGTAATCTAGGAGTAAGAAGACATTGGGTTTATCCTCATTCTTGCTGCTATTTTGCTATTGATCTAGAGACAAAATCATAATACTGGACATTTATTGAGTATTTACTATATGCTAGGTTGTGTTCCAGTTTTGTTTTACATGCAGTATCACGTGTAATCCTCACAACAAATCTTAAGGTGGATGCTATTATTATGTTTATTTCATAGATGAGGGACCTGAGATGTTAAAGCAATGAATACCTGTTGGTGTGACTTGGTCGTACAAAGGTTAAGTGGTAAAATAGATAACTTCACTCTGTATAGGCCGACTCCAGAACCTCCTCCCTTACTGTGCATTGTGGACCATGATTTCTCCTTTCTGCACATTAGGTGCTGGCTGAGATTCTAAGGTAGGATGGGTAGAGTCTTACAAAGACTCCCTCCTTACATGGAATTCTTGTTGAACTCTCTTAAGGGAGTTGAGGCCTTGGAAGTTGACTCCAAGGTCAAACACTGTCTCCATTGCTAGCCATATGATCTTAGCCAGATCAACCTCACCATCTTTAAAGGTGATGCAACATTCCCCACTTCTTAGAGTTTTCCTAGGCACCAAAAACGATTGCACATCATGTGTCCTGCACAGTCTAGGAATAGACATGCTTTGTCCCATGCAATTGTCCCAGTACCTCTATGAGGTAAGTGCTATGCATGAAGAATCTGCGAGTCGTGAGGTTTTTAACTTGCTGCAGTTCACATCACCAATGAGCGCTGAACCCGGGATTCCAGCTCCTGTCTGTCCAAAATGAGAGTCGCTGTTCTTGGTCAGAATTTGGCACATTGGTGCCTGACATTCAGTAAGTGCTCGGAAAGTGGTAACCGTGACTACAATGTTAGCTGTAGTGACGACGTCAGGGACAGAATATTTTAAGAAAGGGGATGAAAGGAAATACTTGATTTGATGAGTGAGAAGAAAAGACCTTTGAAGACACGTTTCTTTCAAAGGAATCATTCCCACAGAAAATGATGCGGATGTATGCAGGTGAGCCCCCTGAGGCGGGGACCAATGTTCCTGTTCATGGCAGGACAATGGACAAACCTTTCACAGTGTTTGAGCTACACAGCCGTGGAGTGGACTGAGTCAGGAGGTAGTGAGTTCCCTTGTTTCTGAGGGTATGCAAGCAAAGACTAAAAGCCCTATTCATCAGGATTTTGAGAGGAATGATGGTTAAATTAGATGACTATTGTAGCTGCTTCCAACTTAGAAGATCTATGATATTATGACATAATATATAGAAAAATACTTGGAGGATTA